GAGGTAGTCCACGTAGCCCTGTGTAAGAAGTACTGAAGCCTCAGTTACGTTTCGGCATCACAATTGTCAGAGCCAGAACTTTTGCTGACTTAATAACCCATCCAGTGTCTAAATTGACCTGAAATGTTCTATAAACAAATGGAATATTTTCTATACTCACTAAATAATTTTATTTTTAACTTAAGGATTGTTCCTACCAGTATGCAAGGTGGCTACATTTCATGTGAGTTTGGATGTGGAAATAATGCGAGATGGAAATATGAATAGATGCTTACTTCATGAATAAAATAAGAAATCATGTGAATCCTCATAAATGAAATATTTGTCAAAAAATGGCAAAACTTCAAAGTCAACCAGCCAAGTGACTTATACACTGGATTTTCCCTAGTGCCATGGGCAGCACCCATTCGCTGGTCACAGAAACACTGGCCAGTTTTGTTCAGGGAATGTGTGAGGTCATCAGAGATGCATCTCTCTCATAAAATGTGATTTATATGTACTGCTCACTAAACTCCCAGATCTCTTTCTCAGTGTACATCTTTGTAGATGTAGCTTCTCTTTTCTTTACAATTCCCTTTCTTTGGCTTATGTACTGCTTTTCATATTATGAGACTAAGTTCAAAAGAAGGCCTTTCCAAAACATTTCTTAATATCCTTTCCATTTAGCCTTCCTTGGTTTTTCCTTTCTCTGTGTTTGCTTGGAGTGGGTACAAATCTTTTTCTAGAAAACTGCGTTGCAGTTTTGTGCACATCTTATTTACTATTGTGAAGGCAAGTTCTGTGTCATAGGTTCTGGGAAGGCAATGGTGCATAACGCGGAACTCAGAGTAAGAACTCAGTGTTTAAAATATAAATTTATACATTTACATATTTATTTATAGGGTGCCTACACAATAAACCAGGCACAATGTAATGTGCTAGAATTGGCAGTGACAAATTGGACAAATGGTCCTTGTGCAAACCTCTAGTTTAAACAGGAAGACATATACTGAATAAATAATTAAAATGTGACGATAAAAGAAGGATAAGAGACAGCTGAGAAACCTAAGCTTTTCCAGGGAATTAGAGAGTTAATCTCTGACCCTTATTTTTAAGCACCAAGGTTCTTTAAAAAGAAACTAACAGTGGGAGATGTGTTTCCCCAATCAATAGCAAAGGTCAAGGAATTCGCTGCCAGTGAGCTACTGAGAAAGTCTTACATGTCAGAATACCTGTTACAGGTGCTCTGAATATTTAGAGTATAACTATATTTAAATGGGTTACATATCATAGTATATAATAATTAAGATAGTAGATTTCTGTTCCCAGTGGATGGTCTGAGAACAAATGGCTTTGATGCAGGATGACAGGGAACTATAGACAAAATCAAATCCAAATGCCTTTGCTGCATCATTTCTCTCTTTGGTACCTTGGTTGGCATTATTTCCACCTGGTGATAGAACTTGAGTTATTTCCTTGAAAGTGAATAATAAAGGAAGAGCAATTAACATGGTGCTGAAGATGCAATTAAATATATGAGTGTCACTTCATGATTCATTTATGTTTATAAGTTACTCATTTATAAGTTTCTGATTTCAAAATTTTAATGAAATATATTGGATCTCCCACCTACCAGCATACAGGACATCCTACAACTATTTGTGGCAATAAAATTGAAAACAGATATACATCCACAAGTCAAAGGCTCAGTTAATTTAGAAGGGTCACTAATATTAATTTGGCTCAAGTGCCATGTCATTGGAATGCCAAGGCTGCAGACACCAGGCTTACAGGTGCAGACCACCCTACACACCTGTCATAGTGTATTGGGAAACTGAACCAGGGTGAAAACTCTGGCTTATATTGTGACAGGCTGACAGGGGATAGGCTGCTATACCACTTACTGGAATTAAGAAATATGTTATTAAGGGCTTCTTGACTCCCATTGCACCATAGTTACATGTGTTCTATGGTGCACTTTTTATTATATTTATGCACAAGTCCTATTTTGCATATGAGCTGTCTTTATTACCAATATGCCTCCTGTCTAGCACAATGGCAGGTACATAGTAGCCATTTTGTAAATGTTAGGAGAGTAATTCAATTTAACTTGTTCAGCAAATATGCCTTGTCCTGTTTAGCTGAGGACACAACAGTGAACCAAACAGGCAAAATCCAGCTCTCATGGTGTTTACATTCTAGTAAGGAAGAAGACAAATAATGGACAACAACAACAAAAAAGATGTTAAGAGAGAAGGGCTATGGAGACAGAGAATGTGAGGTAAAGAGGAAGAAAATGTTGACGGGGTGGGGAGCTCTGCTATTATTTTATACAGAATGGACAGGGAAGTCTCTTTGATAAATTTACTGAAGAATCATGAAGGGAAGGAGGGGACAAGTCACTCAGAACCTAGGAGAAGAACCTAGGAGAGAAAGCATCTGAAGGCAGAAAGTGCAGCAAATGAAAACTCCTGAGGTGCGGATGGGTTGGGGTGATGGAAGAGAGACGCCAGGAGGCCATGTGGCTAGACTGGAGTGAATATGGAGGTGAGGGTTGGAGGCATGGTCAGGGATAAGGAAAGGAGTGATGGAGATGGGATCAGAGAAACAGCCACTGGGGTGAGGCTGGGGGAGTCTCCAAGGGCAGATCATGGAGGGTCTCGTAAGAGTATTATGAAGCATTTTGTTTTTACTTTGAACAAGATAGGAGGATTTTGAGCAGAAGAGTGACATGTATGTTGAGACTTTGTAGGGGTGCAAAAGTGGAAGAAGGGAGACCAATTAGGTCTCCCTGAATAAATTAGTGGATGAACGAATGAAAGCCAATTAGGAAGCAGACAAAGATGAATTCATTCTTGTGGATCCCCAGTGGTTTTCACTTAGGTATACACTTTCACTCCACACTCCTGACTACTCTAATTTTTAAAAAGGGCATTTCTGGCCAGGCACAGTGGCTCACACCTGTAATCCTAGCTCTTTGGGAGGCCAAGGTGGGCAGATCGTTTGAGCCCTGGAGTTCAAGACCAGCCTGGGCAACATGACAAAACCCTGTCTCTACAAAAAATACAAAAATTAGCCAGGTGTGGTGGCGTGTGCCTATAGTCCCAGCAACTCAGAAGGTTGAAGTGGGAGAATTGCCTGAGACTGGGAGGTTGAGGCTGCAGTGAGCTGTGATTGTGCCATTGTGTTTCAGCCTCGGTGACAAAGTGAGACTCCATCTCAAAAAATAAATAAAAACATAGAAGGGTGTTTCTGTCTGCTTTTCTCAATTCAGGCCAACCTGATTTTCTAAGGTATGGTCAGTAGTCAGTGGTAAGTATTTCTTAGAACTGGAATAACAGAAAATTATGCAAATCCTTTATCCAAAGAAGATTCTACAGAACAAATATGTATGAATAAAGCATATCTACAGCTAACGCTCATGGTGTCTACTTGCTTTAACAGTTCAGTATGCTCTATAAGAGGTAGCTTGTAATTTCTGTTGATACAGGGATGTGGCAAATGGCCTTTCTGTTTTGAGGATGAAAGAGAAAAGACATGGAAAATCCAGAGTCCACAGTGTTTGTTTCTCTATAATATTCTGGGCATAGAATGAAACCTAGATGTTTAAAGAGACATGAAGTTGATAGATCCTAGCGGCTGGCTAGTACACTTAAAGGTGGAGTGACTAATTATATTAGTTTTCCAGTATAATATTGTTAGATTTCGAGTTTTAGATTTCTATATACACATTGACTTTTTCTTCTCCGGTTTTTAAAATTGTATTTATTTTTCTGAAACAGGGTGTTGCTCTGTCACCCAGACTGGAGTGCAGTGGTGTGATCATGGCTCACTGCTGCCTCTGCCTCCCAGGCTCAAGTGACCCTCCCACCTCAACTTCCCAAGTAACTGGGACTGCAGGTGTGCACCACCACACTCAGACAATTTTTGTATTTTTTGCAGAGCCAGGATCTCCCTATGTTGCCAGGTGTGGTCTCGAACCCTTGGCCTCAGCAATCCTTCTGCCTTAGCCTCCCAAAGTGCTGGGATTACATGTGTGAGCCACCATGTCTGGTCTCCAGTTCTTATGTCATAGATATTAAGTTTTTCCAAGCCCTAGTCTTTGTAAGTAAAAAAACTAAGAGCAGTTCTTTCCTCACGTAGGCGTTCCCTTTATTGATCATATTCAGACCTGGAATTACATTAATGACACTATTGAAACTAAGTCTGACTTAGTTGTTTAGTTTTCGGTGTAGATCACTAATCACTTTTAATCTTTTTTTGGATTACAAATCCCTTTGTTAAGTGATAAATGTTATAGACCCTTTCTATAGAATAATGCACATGTGCACACACATAAAATACACAATATAATTTGAGGGAAACCATCGATTTTCTGAATCCTATCTATGGAATTCCTTAGCAAGAGGTCAAATATTTAATTATATAAATGTATGCATTCAGACCAAGTCCATTGTCAGTATGTACATGTATAAGTGAAATCAGGCTCATGTAAATAGAAGGTGGTGAACTCTCCCTAGAATTTTTACTTTGCTCTGATTATAGTTTTTTTCTTTCTCTTTCATTTTTGGCCAGTTTTTCCTTACTTAATAAGGGTCACAGAAAATTTGTTCCCTTGATACTTTGAGTGTTTTGGGAAGGTGTTTTTTCTTTCATGTTCTCATTCCAGTGAACCATCGTTTTAATTTATACGTGGGTGATTCCCATCCAGGAAAGATTAAGACAATAAAAGACATGATCTGTACTTTTACTCTTGTGAGACAATAAATTTCCTCATTGTTGACAGACTGGGTTAGAGTTTTCTGTTACTTGCAACCAAAGCAGAATCAAAGATTTCTAGGTTTCTAGAGTAAGTTATCTAGAACCAAAACAGAATCAAAGGTTTCTAGAGTAAATTCTCTTGATACATTTTAAAAAGCATGAAATCAATATTCCTAATGACATTTTCACCTCTATTGTAGCTGTGCCACCTACTATTGCTAACTGAATTATTTTTTGCATGGACCAAGTATCAGGCTTACTTGCTTGGATCAGCTCCTTTGAAGTAGGCATTGACTGTTTCTGTAAATGCTGCTGCAACAGGGAGAGTGTCCTGGGCTCCCATGGTTAGGGGGCTGGGTCCCCTGGAAGAACCTGCATGAAATGAAAAGTTTTCATTTATTATGAAATTAAGAGACACTTTAGTATATGTGAAATTAAAAGCCCATTAAAGGATTAAGGAATAAAATCTACCCCTTAATGTTAAAAAAATGTTCTAAGAACCATAACTCTGTATATTCAACATAGAGCTCAAGTATTTAAAAGGAAATATTTGGCTAGTTTACAGACAAACACACTTGAAATTAATTCAATTACGTATTTTGGCACAGAAAAGAAAATCCAAGCAGAACAAAGTCATAGGGGTTTTCAAATGTTTTGCATAAAACATAAGGCAGTATTTGCATGACAGTTTGTACAGCAGGTGGTTAATAAAGACAATTATTAGTTTCCTATTTGAGCATTCAGTTCAATCAATTGCCCATACTAAAAACTTTTTTTCATTTCTTCATTTTGAAGAGCAGCCAAGTGGTATCACATTACCCATTTTTTTCCTGGATTATTTCCATTTCAAAAAGCCCAGTTACTCTCAGACCAAGTAAGCTCAAGTTTACATGTCCAAAAACATACACAACCAAAATATACACATTGACTTAGCACAAGACATAAATGCACTAATTCACACTATTAAAAATAACGCCAGCTCTCATATCTGTTGAACACCTGCTATACACAGGTGTTCATGCAGACATGGGCAAGGCATGTCTGTACGAACATGGGTGCCTTGCACGAATAATCTCATTCAAATTCCACATTGGCCTTGTGGGATAGGTATGATTATTCCCATTTTATAGCAGAGGAAACGGAAGCTCCATGTAAGTGACTTGCCTAAGATAATATAGTTAGTTAAATGGCAAAACAAAAATTCAAACCTAGGTGTATCTCCCTATGGAACTCACGTTTTTCCCACCATACGATGCAGTGTTCTAAATGAAACATTTTTCTGTATCATTTTACTGTAACCTGTAGCTTCTGAAAGCATCAACATTTAAGATTATTGTTTTTGTTATTGATCTGTGGGCATGGTATTGAGCAGTAAAGTTTTGGTAATTATTACATAAAGTATTTAATTATGTCACATACGCACTGCTTCCCCTTCCTGCCAAACAAAATGCATTTACTCCTCCCCACTCCCAGCATGGACTATATACTTTGGTGTTAGGCTTGTTTTCTTTCACCTTCAATAACTTTTGTCCTCTTCTCCAGGTCTGAAAACAATCTACCATTCGTACACCTCCCTCCTCAATAAAGCTTTCCTTGATCACTCTAGTTCATGCTAGCCTCTTTTCTGTCTCCTCTTGGCTTTCAATATCTTGGACTTGGCAATTGACAATTAATTTAACAAACAGTTATCTAATATCTAATATCTACTATGTATCAGGTATTATGGTAGGTGTTGGGGATTCAAAAACACATGGTCTTTGCCCTCAATGAGTTACAGTTCAATGTACTGATGTCATCAGCAGCAGCATTGTGATCATCAACATCATCAACAGTCACCAATCTTAATTACCTCCATTAACATTATTTGTTGCACACTTACTGTTTTATATATATTACCTATGTAAATGTATGAAGTAAGTATTGTCTTCATTTTACAGTTTGATGGAACCAAGGCTCAAAGAGTTTATACAACTTGTTCAGTCCTGCACAGCTGGTATGCATAAAGTTTAAGATTGGCACTGGGGTATGTATGAGTTCAAAGCTTAGACTCTGAGGACATTATTATTTTGCCTTCTTAGTATGCAATTATGTACCAAGTGGGCAATTACAGACTCACTGGGTGAGTCTGAAGTTGGAGTATGCATGGCTAAGTCTTTGCTGCCCATGGAGCCCTACATTTTAAAAGGGAGTTACAATGGCATTAGCTTCTTTAATGAGACCTTGACAGTCCCTAAAACCCAGCCTGGATGATATTGGCCTTCCACTAAATACGTGTTGAATTATCCACGGTTGGGTCTCAGAAAAGTAAGGTTTAAGCACATTTATAAACAATAAAGGCACAATAAACACAGGCCATTATTTTGTAATGGTGTTGTTCAGTTTAGTTGCTCTTAGTTGTTAGTTCAAATGTTTATTGAGCGACTACCAGTTTCTGGAGAAGAATGGCTTCTCTAACTGTTGGTTAAAACTAGGCCACAGTGGTAAGAGGGCTGGACTGTTACCACTCTATCAGGGTCATTGCTACTACGTGATTGAAACTTAGCGTTTGGTGAGGAGGATAGATAAATCTACAAGCAAATGGAGTGATTTGATAAATTCTTTAAAAAAATGAGCAAAGCTCTATGAAAGCACTTAATGATGCTTGTATAGGTCTGAGGAAGAAGATGATCTTACAAAGAGTAGAAGGAAGGAGGTCTACCTTGTATCTACGTGTGGAGCTGAGCAGACACATTTAAGAAACCACAGCAAGTGTGGTACTGTTTGTGTGTGTATGTGAGTGTGGTGGGTATTGAAGGGTGACATGTGGAAGCAGATGAGGCTTGGGGAGTTAGCAATTAGGTCATGAAGAGTTTTATATAAACATTTAGGAAAATTTGTCTTTATAGCCATTAAAATCCTAATTCCTTTTTGATAATCGAATACAAATCTAAGAATACTTTTCAGAGCAAATCACACACATATATATCATATTTATTATTTAAAGTAGCATTATAAATTTCCTGAGGTTCTTGGGGTTCTGGAACTTGGGTTAGAACACCCTGAATGGAAGATGGGAGGCCTCTGAAGTATTTGAAACAATGGACGTCAGTTTAGAGCACGCTAGCTATGTAAATGTATGAAGTAAGTATTGTCTTCATTTTACAGTTTGATGGAACCAAGGCTCAAAGTGTGATGCATAGTTTAGTGAAGGAGACGATAATGTAGATGAGGAGATTTCTTAGGAAAAAAGATAAAAATGAGGAGAGAAGCAGATGCTAGTATATAAAGGGAATGTCATCATCATAATATTTTTCAATTCTGCAAAGCATTTAATAGTCTTCTAGGATAGTCTTATGAATAAAATAGTAAAAGTTGTATGGATCATAGTCTTGCCAAGCGAATTGACAATTAGATAAATCACAGTATCCAATGAGCATGAATCAGTAGCTATACATCCATTGCGAAGGAACTGTCTAGTGGATTATCTCAGAGACTGGTCCCTAGTTTGGGCTCTTTAGTGGCTTGGATAAAACTGAATAAAGTGCTCAGAAATGGCACATTGTAGTGGCTAAGAGCATGGGATTTAGCATCAGACATACCTGGGATTGAGTCCTGTCTCTGACACTTGTTATCTAAATGATCTTTGGCAGGGATGATGTCATGATACCCACTTTGTAGGCCTGTTCTGAGGATAAAATGAGGCAAAGCATTTAGCATCGCGCTTGAACCACAGTAAGCACTCAGTAATGATTAGCTACTTTTATGATGATCATCATGGCAGATTCATTAAAAGAGCTAAAATTTTTCTTATAATTTTGAGGTACTGAACTGGAACTTATAAGAAAAATATCAGCAGAAACAAATGTAAAATTCTTATATATCAAGGTTTAAAATTAATGAAACAATTGTGGTTTGGTGAAAACTTGCTTGGTAGAAGAATACGTGAAAAAAAGCACCTGGAGGTTTTAGTTGATCATCAATTTTCTATTGTTGAGTTCTAAACCTCTTGCCTAGCTTGGGCTATATCAAAGGACAAGTAAGAGACACATCACTAGAAATGACGGTTGTAGTGCTTTTTGTTTGCTTGTGTGCTTTGTTTTAAAGCTCACAGATGGCAATTGGAACACAAGTCAAAGACCACACTCTTCAGTGTAATGATACACAAGGCCATCTGTGGCATGATCAAGACCCATTTCTCCTTACCTACCTCCCCCCACGTCCCCCAACAACACATCCTCTAGCTATGATAACTTCTGGGCACTATAGTCCTTATTGTAGAACTGATCAGTGATGCCAGGGAAGGAGAAACACACAAAACAACAAACATTTACAAAGAACTTTCTTATCTTTAAGGATACAAAATTTATAACCCTAATTTCTTCACATCCATATACATTGCAATTGATATGCCATTTTGTGTTTTACTTTTTCCCACTTACAATATTTTTTATTGCTATTTAGTCTACATATCATTTTCTGCAACTATTTGTTATTCTACAAACATTGTCCAAATGTTGAACCACTTCTAGATAGCAATCTAAATCCATCTTTGTTTAAATTGGTATTGTTTTCCTTTTTTAATTTCCTTAAGATGTAATGTATTCCTACAAAGTAGAATGACCAAATCAAAAGGCAGATCAATGTTTAATTGACAAGAATACCAGGTATTTTGCATAAAGATTATACTCAGTGAAAATGATATGAGTAATAAATGAATGCTTTCATTCCCCCATAGCACCTCAGAGAGTTTTTGTTTAGTAGCATTATTGGAAAACAGGGCTAAAACCAGAAAAGTGTCCAAGATAATGAGAAATTCAAGCCTTATGGCCTAAGAGGACTAAGAGGGGCCTGGAAACTGTTTTCTAATAACTGAAATAATATTAACAGACAGCGACTCTGGAGACCAGAGTTCAAGGCTATAGATCTGCAAGTTAATAGCTCTGTGGTCTTGGGGAAATCTCTTAAACTTAGGTTCCCTCGATCATGAAATGAAGGCAATAGACTGCATAGTGTCTTTGTTTTAAGATCCTATGATTTTAAGTCGTCTATAGGCATTTAAAATTTTTACAGTAAGAATAACTTTCTAACAGAAAAATAAACTGCCCTGGAAACAGCATACCCTCACTGGAGATTTGGATGGCTCTGTCGTATTTACTGAGACACTACCATGTACAAGATAGTGGTGAGGACATAAATATGTAGTCTTTCAGGAAAAAAGACATAAACATATGGAAAACTAAATAACAATAATGTATGCAAACAAGAGGTTAGGTAAGATGATGGTTCAAGTGACATCACTATGGGATTAGTTCACTGCAAGACTAATTACTAAATGAGTGGTATAGCAGATGCTATTAGTTGATTTAATAAAGGAAACCTGGACTCTAGAGTCA